TTAAAGGAGATTAGGTTCTTCAGTGTTTGCAGCAAAAAGTCTGCAGAGTGTAATTTATTTTTCCATTCTGTTAGATAACAGCATCAGAGCAAATGAGTTTGGGGAGTTCGTTCTATTATTGATGCTCCTCCAAAGCCTCTAGAGATGACTTACAAAAAAAAAAAAAAAATCTGAGGAACATCATGGAGAATCATGAGTATCCTCCTATCAGACTGTTAAACACCAATAGAGTCTCTTCAGTCAGAGGCTTCTCCCTTTTAGCAGTTATATAGACTGCTACAGAAGAGCCTTTCTGCCTACAGCCCTTAACATCTACAGCAGTTCATTGAATAAACCCGTGTAATATAAGTTGTATCACTATTCAATTTCTCTTTGGGATTAAAAAAAGTAATTGGGAGTTGAATCAATTAAGACTTTTTCAGTTAAATATGTCAACTTTCATCTTTTATAACCAAAGTTCTGCAAATAGACTTTCTCTTCTGCTTTTCACTCCCAGTGCTCCTTCTGATTGAAGAAGGCTGTAACAGGACTTGAGGTTAGACAACTCACTTCGACTGTAGAGTGTAAAAGCTTGCATCACAGGGTGGTTTGTTGTTTTATTTCTACTGTTTTATGATGTTTTTATATCTTCTATTTTTTGTATTTATCTAATTAATTGGTCAGATAAACTGCAATAAATATATGTTTTAACTTGTTACTGTTTTGCATGTGAGGTTAAAGGATGTTAATCTTGAAAATGAGACCTCATATCCAAATTTACCGCTATAGAAAAAGGTGGAAAAAAAATTCTACTCTGACCTTCGAAATATCTAATAAACTCGGTAAAGGTTACCGTATTAACACATCCTTATTTTTTAGTTTAACATATATGCTGCCAAGGATGAAAAACTTTCACTATTTTTACTGAATTCCACTTTTTGAAGGAGACCAGGCTGTAATTTTGACAGCTCAAATGACCAAATAACTCTTGAAAACAGCCCCTGTGTATTTCCTGTGCTTACATGCACCACTGCTGAGCTCTAAGAGATGGAAGTAAATGGCAAACATTTGGTTGCGAAACAGGCTTTGGTTTCTTTTTTTTTTATCAAGTTACATGAAATAGTATCTGCAAATAAAGCAGTTTGAGACCAAGAGAGTCTCCAATAGTCACATTATGTTACAGAACATCTTTCTTCTTATTAAAACCTTCCAGCAGGTAAGAGCTCACTGTTAAAGCTTTTTGACAACATGTTTGCTATAAACCAGGGAATCAGAGAGATAAAAACAGCAGCACTCAGAAATACTTTCATTTATTCATGAGTGCCCATAGTGTCTGTTTGAGATTTATCTGCGATATTTACTTTTAAATCATATCTATACAGACAAACCTTTAGTTTTGTATAAAGTGTGTTGCAAACCCCAGATTTGCTATGATGCACACAAAAAAAATCTCAACTTCATGAGATTTGTGAGAATGGAAGAATTTTCTTTATTTTATCATCTTTAGATCATGTTCAGTAATTTTAAGCTTCACATGTTTCCTTTTCACTTCATTTGTCTGTCTGCACTTGGCTCATTCGGGAGCTTCCTGTGGTCAAAGCTAAATGTTACAGGCACTGATGGAATGGCCATTGGCCATTCCTGTAAATTTCATGAGACTATCTTGCACTCAGTTTCTCATCAATAAGCCCATCAAGAAAACTGCTGGCTGGCTGTTTTAATAGCCGGCAAACAATAAGACTCTCTAAAGCCATTTGGTTCATTCAGCACCACTTATACAGTGTTGCTTCAGCATCTTGGGCTAAAAAAATGCCTGACAGTAAATGTCATGGAATAAAGGTTCAAAATCTGTAATATAGGAAACAGATTTCAAGTTTATAGGATTTTAGCTTGACAGAAGAGAGTTTATGCAGGAATTGGGTATAACTATTTAAATTTTCATACTTGTTGCTTATTTTTTATTTATAAGACCTCTTCCTTGGATTTCAAAAAGGTAACTCTGAACATTTAGAGCACTAAATAAATGCATTATTTAATTAAATACTAAAAATAAACTATTTTTATTGGTAGGACCATCATTTTAAACACACAAAAACAGATACACTTAACTTGAGTTCATTAATCTATATAGGTTAGCAAGAAAATTCCATGTCAAATATTGTGTCACGCTCTCAGTTCATATAGAAAAAACACAACAACAAAAAATTCAATTTAAACCACAATTTTATTCTAGAAGTAAACATTTGCTGGGCTGTAAGGCAAACAGACAAACATTCCCTTCAAGGAAGGCAGGTTTATGTTGATACTAAAAATAATCTATCTCATATTTTTATTGGCACCAGTAATCCTAATGGGGAGGGAGGCAGAACATTTTCCAGTAATGGTGACATCTTCTCCTGAACTACAGAACTGTAATAACTTTAATTGATGTCAGGGGTGAACTAAATAAGCCTGGAAGCTAAAACTAAATCAAAAGCTCTTTAAACAATGAAGTAATTTATCATTCCTTTTTGTTATTTATTATATTTAGCCTTAATGGTTTATTTATGTTCTTTAATTTTGAATTGTATAGTGGTGCAATGCACATGTAGAGATCCAGGGATTTTATATAATATAAATATAATATAATATAATAAATATGTCAAAGCTTTAAAATAAGAACCAGTAAAAATGCATTTTCAGATTTATTTATTTATTTTTTTAATCTTACTGATTTTATTGCTATTACACTTCTTTAATAGAATCCACCTGCTCCTCTTAAGCCACATGACTACTGATGTCACCAGAGCCACAATCAAAGCCAGGAACCTGTAGACAAAATGGTGTTTGTGCGTCCAGAGCAGACCGAGTCTAAGTGGGGATGAAATGGGGGTTGAAAAAAATTCAGACAAAAATACAAATCATCACAGTCTTTTTTTTTCCTGCTTTATTGCATATGTATAAATGAAGTTCAAAAGGCAGATGGGAAAAACATTAGCCTCTCTATTCACCAGGGTCCTCCCACCCTTTCTGTCTTGCTCTGTTATCCACCCACATGTACCGTCTGAGAAAAAAAAAAAGTGCATGAGGTGACGCTCCTCCAAAGGAACAGAGAGAGGGGGGGTGTCTACAGGCTGCATCTCATCTGAAACATTTGGATGAGGGGGGAGACAGAGGAAGAGCCTGAATGGTAGCTACACCCTGCGCCTGGAAGCGTAGAGAAAGAGAAATAGAGAGGCACTGTTAAAAAAAGAAAAAAGAAAAAACAACAACAAAAAAGCTGGCAGTTATTTTTCTTTTTTGGCAATAACAAAGAGGTGGGAGAGAGAAAATAGCACATATAAGAGGGGGACTTCTGCTTCATTTCATCCGAAAGACTCCATCCCTGTGCCATCATCAGCATGACCATAAGCTCTATAAGTAACATCCGGCAATAATAACAACGGGTATCAATAGGAGGTTTCCAGCAACAGATGCGCGCTATTTCATTTTGATTGGAGAGAAAAAAACACCTAAAAAAGATCAACTGAATGCCTGCGAGAAACTGGACTCTGAAAGCATAAGGCAGAGCGATCAAACAGAGAAATCTACATTTTGATTGATCCTTTTTTTTTTTTTAAAGCTTGATGTGCGTGTCTCTGCGCGCACTCGAAACGAACCTGAGCCAAAAGCAAGTGAGTATTAAACCGTATCTGTGTGTATCTTTATATCTGTGTGTTTCTATCTTGGTGGCTTTGTGGAACGGAGTATTCTTTCATCCAGGAGTGTAGAAATAAAAACAAGATGATAATTGGAGCCGTCGCTACATTCAACAAGTCTAGAATACCCACCAAATATATTCATCTATTGTGTGTTCCGATTAAAAAAATGACCAAAAGCACGTAGAGTAAATTTAAGCACTTATTGTAAATTTTACCTGGAAAAATTATTAATGCAATCAGCCCGATTTTTTAAATAATAATTAAAAAAAATTGCCTCTCATTTCCTACTGTCATTAAAATGAAGCTTAAAGATTTCACCCCTCATTGCACAAATGGTGGGTGTTTCCCCATCTTCACCACTAGATCAGAGCAGTTTCATGACTCTCTGAGAGGAATGAGTGCATGCAAGCATTCCCTCCTGCATCATTCTGCCTGCACGAGTTCTCATGTTGTGTGTGTGTGTGTGTGTGGCTTTGTGCTTTTTGCAGGAATGCAATTAGGAATGCAATCAGGAATGCATTTTCCTTTGCATGTCAGTTTGTGTATGTGTGTGCGTTGTTTTATATCACATCCTGTCAATTTCTGGGAAGTGTAAAGGCCTGAAATGAAGGTTTGATATAGGTGAAGACGTGAGGAAGGGATGCAGAGGACGGAGGCAGAGGATGGTGAACAGGAAGGACATAGGGTCTCTGAGATCTCATCCAGGAAGTCTGAAAGATATGGAGGTGGGAGGCGGGATGTTAAATGTCTAGACTTTTTTTTTTATTTCCCTCTACAAGCTCTAGGCACTGCACATGCCATCGTACACTGACAGTTTTCTCCATCTGCATTCCACTGCGTTTCACACACAGAGTATGCGGTTTCATAACAGCTCTTCTGCCAACTGGCTCTAGTGCGCTCTTCTTCTAATGGCAACTCTCTGCCTCTTTTCCTCCATTTGCTCTCCCTCTGTCACCTTACCCAGCCCCTCTCTTGGTCCTGCATTATGAATCTACTGCTGGTACTATTTTTAGGTCCAGGGTAACCCAGAAAACACCCATTTCAAATTTTGCACAAAGAGGAAAAAGAAAAACTAAATGCAAAAAAAGAGACTGGTGTGCAGTGGGTGACTGGTGGAGTAAATAAGAGGGGCTTATAAAAGGAGGGCACTGCTGTTTAAATCTATTTTTGAAGCTTTGATTGAATTACACATCTATCGAGCCTTGTGTTTGTGAGCGTCTCTGCCTCGGACCCCTCGTCTCCTCTCGGCTCCGATGGTTTCTCTCTCATCTATGGGCTTCAGAGCTCAGAACTTCAACACCTCTGTCCTGATTACATGATTGAGAAAATCCAGCTTCCTTCATTTCCAATTTACTTCCCACATCTCCTCTGTTTAGCTTCTGTACACTCAACACATGTGTAGGCCAGGTTTCTGGAAGTAAACATCTGTAAAGGTTTGATCACTAACAGTTTCCTTTGTTAAAGTAGACAGATGTTCTCTGGGGTTTAGAAAACAAAGGAGCATAATACGACAAACAGCACATCCATTTAAAAACAACTCAAACTATTGTTATTAATGAGATGAGATCAAGGGTTATATTCGCGGTTATCAATCACCTTTAGAAAATACATCTGGTAACTTTGTTGTTATTTTTGGTAAATATATTTTGTGTTACAAGGAATTGTTACACGGGGAAAGAAGCAGGCTGGTTACAAGTTTGTCAGGATAATTTCCAAACAAAAAATTGCATGACCTGGAGAAGCACAGAAACATACTATATAAGATTCTGCTGCGACCGGGGACAGCCCTGCACAAAAGCCAAATGTTAACTTCACTTTTCCACACTGTGAACTCATTAGGTAGACTGATACTGCAGCTAACCTAAAGCTCAAACTTTAACGATGATCTCTTGTAAAAAAAAAATGAAAAAGTTAATATCACTATAAAACCAGATGTAAACATTTTCATCTTGGGTTTAAAAAAATATATTAAATAATTTATTTAAAACTAATAGTCTGTCTGCCTGATTGATAACCTTTTCCAGTCTTTACTTTTCCACAAACTATTACATGATGCAGCTAAGACAGAGAAGGACTGATGATAATTTAACTTCATTTAAAAAAATCTGAACTGTTCCTTAAACATCATAGCTCAGGATTTTTTAAGAAGGGTTTTTTGTAAAGTGGTGGCTCTCTTGGACTTTTAACGACTATTAATCAAAAAAAGGGACTAAAAACAAACCAAGCATCTATAGACTTAAAACAACTTCAGTCTCACAACCTTTTTGGGATACACAATTTATTAATCCTTTGTACCACTCCCTATTTATTTGAGATAAAAGTGAAGTATTACTTTGAGAAGTGTCTGACTGCAGGGGTCATTTTGTAGTGCTGTCAAGGTCAGCCCCTTGCTGGATCATGAGTAATTTAGCATTCTGTCCCTATTCCGAAATCTAACCCTAGACCAGGAGTCCGAAACCTTTCCAATCCAGAGAGCCATTTAACCTTGAGCCCAGCTAAATAAAAGTAGTTTAGTGCAGCAAATATTACATGACCTTTAAATAAAACTATATATATATATGCAATAGGAAATATGTTGCCATTTTAAACAGCAAACATCTAATTTGCTATTTGTATTTTTTGAAAGAAAGGATAAAACATAAAAGTTTCTTTAAGAGGAAGCATTGATGTTAGGTTTTGTTCGATAGGATCCAGACTTATGACAAGAATTGTAGATCTACAACGTATTTCTGATTCTTTAATGTCATTCTGTAATGGAAATTAAAATCAAATATTCTTTAAAAACATGCTTAACTTGTAGGAATGGTATTTGTTGTTAAACTATATTAAAAAGCTTTACTTGGCTCTTTATCAGTTTTAGCCACTGTTAAGAGCCTTTGCAGAGGCTTCAAAGAGCTACTTGCAGCTCCGGTGCTGCAGACCCCTGCCCTAGATCTTACCTATAACCTTTTACTACAGTCATTAACTGCCTGACAAATTATTTTTCCACATGTGAATCAGGGCAGGCAAAAATTATTTAAATTATGCTCTGAGAGTAACTTTGATATTTATGTATTTTTTTTTCTGTCCTAAGTTAACAAGATAAAACACCTATAGCAGTAAAACGATAAAGGCCTCTTTTGCAAGGGTAACACAAGGGAAATACAAACAGCATTACTTCATGGTGAACAGGACAACAATTTAAACAAAAAAAACCTTAGGAATACACAAGCAAATATGACAAATAAAGCACTAGAGCTATTGTTCTAGTATAAATAGATATTTTCTGAGTTTAAAGCCTGTTGGAAGGATTTCCATTGTAGGGTTAGGGTTAAGGTAGATTAAGGTAGATTGTAAAGCTTTCAGTGAAACCTGTTCAACAGTTTAAGGTCAGAATGACAGGGCTTTTAAGCAGAGGTGGCGGAGACATTCAAATCTATTTTTGCCTGTTCAGTTCGAACACGTGGAATAGCGAAATACAAAATGTAATTTTGGCAAAGGCATTATGGCTTTAAAACTCCAAAGAAACTGCATAAATAAGGAAGGTCAAACCTACAAGAGCCCTGTAATTCAAAGCCTTCCAGTGTAGCCTTACATTCTAGGGTGGTATGCAACTTTCAGAAATGTATATTGATGAGTGAGGGGGGGCTACATCTATGGATTTATTTCAAAACGCAATGGCACACAAGAGTCAGAGACTTAAAGGGGTCATAAAATGATTATATAGGGTATTTGGTGCTGGTCTTTAATGTCTCTGAATAGGGTGTGTAACATTGGTTGGGCTGAAAATAGCATATTTGCTGTTCTATGAGCCCTAATGCAAACCTGGTTAAAAGACCTAGAATAAAACGACAGGTTTTCATCCTTTTATGGTATGCTCATCAATATTTAGATAAGCTGTGCGCTGATTGGTTGGTTTACAATGAGCGAAACTGCAGAGCAAAGACGCATCATAGCAACAAGCACTCACTCAATGAAACATTGAGATTGTTGATATGGTAGGGTAACCAGACGTACTCTTTTTCCCGGACATGTCCTACTTTTCAGACCTAAAAAAATGTCCAGGGTTTTTTTCAAAATTGTCCAGTATTTTGTTTGATTACACTGCAGCAGACCCGAGCGCCGGGGCTGGTCTGGCAGACATGTGCAGGGAGCCAGTGGGGGGACGGAGCGACCGAACCCGACCTGGTGACGGTAGTCTGGACACATGCGGCCCCGTGCTTTCCCCTGCCTGCCTTACCGGCCCCCAGCCCCCTTCCTCCAGCTGAGGAAGGCGGCTCATGGCTCTCTGCTAGGGTCATGTCCAGTCAGCGGCCCAGCAGTCGACACTTTATACCCATCCCCCCGGGGCATGACAAAAGTACAGGCCAGAACCAAACAATTCAACACAGAGTGTACGTCAGTTTGCGGCTTCGTTTGGATTCGCCCGTTTTATGTTGGAAGTTTAGCATGGTGAGATTTACAGAGAAAGGAGGTGTCGACGGGGTTTGAACTTCTCTGTATGTCCATTTCACCTGCTGAACTACATTATTCATTGATAACAATGTAAACTTAGTTTTGCATTCTATGACTCCTTTAAGGTAGATTGTAAAGCTTTCAGTGAAACCTGTTCAACAGTTTAAGTTAAAAATGAAATGAGTTTTAAGCAGAGGTGGCAGAGACATTCAAATCTATTTTTGCCTCTTTAGTTCGAACACGTGGACAAGCGAAATACAAAATGTAATTTGGGCAAAGGCATTTTGGCTCTAAAACTCCAAAGAAACTGCATAAACAAGTAAGGTCAAACCTACTAGAGCCCTGTAATCCAGAGCATCCTGTGTGTATATCGACTTACATTCTAGGATGGTATGCCAGTTTCAGTAATGTGTAGTGATGAGTAAGGGGGGCTACAACTAGTTATTTATTTTAAAACACAAGGGCACACAAGAGTCAGAGACTTAAAGCACCGACTTAAAGAAAGGAATAAGTAAAGATCATAAGGAGTGTTCTTTTAA